TCCACTACACATTGGCCGTGAGAGCTTCTCAGAGTCCCTTCACCTCCCCAATCTTGTCTGCTGATCAAAACATGGTGTGAGTAAAAATTCCCACACAGGGCTGACCTGAGAATCAAGTGAGGCAGAGTATACAAACGTGCCCTGCATCTGTGCTGGCCAGTTGCATGTCAGCTTCAGGCTGCCCCTTAACCCCAGAGGACAAGGCACTGGGGGCTCTGTAGAGCCTGGGCAAGGGGCCTCTTCAAGGCATCCAGCAGCCTAAAGGCCAGGCCCAGTGAGGTAGCAAGGACCCAAGTGTTTGTCAGGCGAAACCTGCCACCTCATGGTGCTCATGCATGTGAGCCCAACCCACCAGTCCCAAAGCCCCGCCTTACCCTCTCTGTCCCCACCTAGCTGCTTAGTCTGGGGGTGTCCTTTCTCCTCTTGTCACCCGTCTACCCCAAGGCTTCCTGACCTGGAGGTGTCCTCCCAAACCCCTTAGTTCCAGGGTGTTCTCAACTTCATCCACCAGTCCTGTCATTCTCAAAGACCCCTGCTCCTCTCAATGGTTCTAATCTGACTGTATTAGAGCCATCTTCCCCTTCCTGGGCCAAAGGAGAACCTAGGGGTCTCTCCCCCGACCTCAGTCCCTTCTTCAGCCACTCAGAAGCTACTTGGGGCCTGAGTATCTGATTTTTCAGCGACCAACAGGGTGCCTGTACTGCCAAGTCCTCTGAACAAAACCTGTTGCTGGTTCCTCCAGCCCATTTGAGGGTGGCTTGGGCCAGGGTAGCTGGTGTGTGTGTGTGTGTGTGTGTGTGTGTGTACGCGCATGTGTGCATATGCATACATGCACATGCACCTATTCCTTGCTCTGGTCTAGTAAAGCCCTCTCTGGCCAGCCCCACCCTGACTCTCAGGGGGCCTCCCAGCGCCAGCCCCTCAGCTGCCAGCCCCGCAGCTGCAGCAGTGATTCAGCTGTCTGGACAGATCCTTGAGCCTTTCTAGCACCTTTCTAGCAGAACAGTTTCCTCCTTCACTTCCTGTGGTCTAAGCACTGAAATTCCAAGGCAGGTGGGAGGTGACTGATAGCCTGAAGTGACTGGCTATATATAACCCAGGCTTCTAGGAAATAAAGCAGAGCGGGGTGGGGGGGACTGAAGCTACCCAAAGATTCCAGGCAAACAGGCTTTATCTTGCTGTGTGTGCTTGCAGCTTAGTGAGCTGTGAGCTCTTAATAATTGGGTTGCTGACCTTTCAGCTGTGCTCCTTTTCCCCCTGCTGGGGTAACAGAATGGGTCAGCAAGTCCATTCTGTTTTTAGTGCCTCGTAAGCCTGTCCCTAACAGTGACTCTGGATTTCCTGGGCCAGGGTGGAACAGGCCTAACATGCCCAACCAGTTGGATGTGGTTATGGGACTGACCTGCCACCCACCCATTTTGAGATAGGCTGGTGGAATCCATCAACGTCCAAATTTCCCATGTCCCTTTCCAAATAGGTCAGAAACATGTGGTTGGCACAATATAGAACCTGGAAAAGGTGAGAATGGGAGTTGTAAAAGCTAAAGATGATACAGTTGAATTCAGGAGAATTTAGGTGCCTAAATATGTTGGAAGGAAGGAAACGTTCACTGAGTGTTTCTAACAAGCCACGCACAATGCTAAGTACTTTCACATAAATTATCACATTACCTGAGAAATAGTATCATCTTCATCTTACAGATGAGAAAGGTAAAGTTAAGAAAGGTTAAGAATTAGCTTTGTACACAGATCTGAGTTCAAATTCTGACCGCACCACCTACTAGCAAGTAACCCTAAGCAAGTTAACCTCTTTGAGTCTATTTTCTCATCTATAAAACAGGGATGATGGTTGCCGTGCTGGTTTGAATAGAAATCTATGTTGTAGGGACAGACTCCAGCCCAGTTCCTGGCAGTCAGGGGTCACTCTGCTGTTGTTAATAGTGATAGCAGTTGTAACTTGCCCAAGGTCATAAAATAAATTCAAACCCAGGGTTCCTGATTCCCAAGTTCAGTGCTCATGGGGAAAGAAGCTGAATCACTTAAATATTTTTTGAGTATGGCCACGAGGCAGGCTCTGTCCTAGGATCTGGAAGTTCAGTTAGGTATAAGAGCCAGACTAACAAACAACTCGTCCTATAAAATGCTAAGTGTAGAAGCACATATACGTGCAGAAAGGGCCCAGCAGGAAGTAACTCTTGAGGATAAGTTACCAGGAACACAAGTTCATAAAAGTGGTAGTATTTTCTCCGTAGTGCCAGCAATGGTGAAAAACAGAAGCGACTGGAACTCATTTGGGAAGGCAGACCAGGTAGGGGCTAAACTTTTGCAGTTTTCTAGTGAGCTGGGTGGTCTGTTTTACACGTTATACACACACACACACACACACACACGGTGGCATTTCGCTTCTTAGGGTGCACAAACACACCTCAAGCTGCAACTCCTAACCCCCACATCACACACATTACTCTTTGCTCCTCCCACTGTTTTCTTTGAAGGCTCCCATCCCCTAAAACACAGAGAACATTACCTCTTACTTTGTTTCCTGGCGACTTTCTCCCAATAGACAGACTAGAAACAATTTTTCAGTCATGTTTGGCAGCCAATGGAATATTCAGACTGACATTCAGCATGTACAGTCATTTCTACTATAATGCCGAAAAAACTTGCATTCTGCAAAATCATACTGCAAAAATTACAAAGCTTCTGGGAAAAAGGGGTTGGGGCAGACCACTGAAAACCTATGGAATTTTGTAGCCACAGCACAAGCAAAACAGAACCAAGCCCAATGATGATGCCACTGCAGATAAACTCCCACTGGCATGTGTACTGGTCCCTTGCAGCCTTAAATCCTGGGGCTCAAATGCTTCTTCCTGAGATATAGGTCCTTTGAGATGAAGGTCCTAGCAGAGACCAGTTCCATCAAAATAAAAAATGTGATCCAGGACAGGATCTTCTTCGTCAATTTTGTAAAACAAACGGGAGGTTGGCATCTGCACAGCATCTTCCTTTCTACTCAATTTCCCCAGATAACCTAACACAGTGGAAAGGCTGGTAGTGGTTCCTGAACCTACTAAACTAGCCACTACATGTAATAAAGGAAGGCACTTCTATAACATTTTCAGCTTTTTTCTTAAGGTCTTCAGTCCTGTCCCTGATCACTTCAAAATACTAATGTTCTGGGGAAAATCTTACAGGAACTAACCTAATTTCAGGTTATCCTGACACTGTTTCTCTATTTACCAATTGTATACACACTATATCCTATTAAAGAAACAGCTTTGTAACAAAACAGACCATCTTATGACTAGTCATGAAGATTCTGGTCCTAATTCCAGTGTGTGGGTTTTTCCCCCACACCAAGCAATTCTCAGACACCAAGTGGGTGTCCTACCATTCAACTCAATTCTGACACTATCTGCCTAGACAAAGCATCAGATCCCACATTAACGGCTCAGTCCTACAAGACTCCCCAACCTCCTTCAGATGCTGATCACAAATCCGGGTAGTCACTTGTGGTTCTAATCGATTGGCTATAAATCAGAGGTTCCAAGGACCCGCTCCTTGGGTTCAATTAATTTGCTAGACCGACTCATAGAACTCAGAGAAATATTTTACTTGCTAGATTACCCGTTTATTATACAAGGAATAACACAGGAACAGCCAGATAGAAGAGATATGCAGGGCTAGGTATAGGGAAAGGGCGAGGAGCTTCCATGCCCTCTCCCAGCACCCCCTCTCCCCAAATCTCCAGGTGTTCACCAATCCCGAAGCTCTCTGAATGCTGTCCTTTTGGGTTTTTATGGAGGCTTCATTATATAGGCATGATTGATTACATCATCAGCCATTGGCAACTGATTCAACCTCAAGCCCCTCTCCCCTCCCAAGAGGTCAGGGGGTAGGACTGAAAGTTCCAAACCTCTAATCACAAGGTTTGCTCCCCTGGCAACCAACCCCTATCCTTAGGTTACCAAGGGGCTTTCCAAAAGGCACTTCATCAACATAACAAAAGACACCTTGATTGCTCTCAACACTTAGGAAATTCCAAAGGTTTTTAGGAGCTCTGTACCAGGAATGAGGATGAAGACCAAATACATATTTCTTACTATAAATCATATTACAGTCATGAAAACAGTCACCACCTCACCCTGGTGACTCCTTCCTCTCTAGGTTAGAGGTCCCTAAGGCAAGTATGGAGTATAGTTACATACACAACTCACCCCAAAACCCAGAGAGAAAAGCACTCCTGGTCCTATGGCTGCCCTTACCTCTCCTACAGCCCAGGTTTCACTCCAAAGGTGCCACTACTGCCCATGAAATCAGTGAGCCTCAGCTAGGGGACATCACCCCTCAGTAATGAGGGGAAAGAGCACATGCAGGAGGTTCAGGAAAGGAGGGAATATAAGGTCTAGGCATCTCAATTTTGATGAAAGAAAGCAATTTCCCTGACCCTTCGTAAGAACATGAGGCTAACAGAAATCCCATTTCACAAGCTTGTATCATCTGTCTAACCCAGAAGGCTGAGAGGAAACCAGGAAGTCTGATGGAATCCAGGACTGCAACCTTGCTATTGGAACTGCACAGAGAGGCATGCCTGAGATCCTCGCTCTCTTCCACTCATTTAGCAAATGTTTGTTGAGTGTCTTCCATGTGCCAGGCACTAGGACCAGTGGTGACCCAATCAACACAGTAAGGGGTCAAGAGCCCCAACCCAGAGGCAAGAGATCAGCATTCTCCTGCACCACCAGTGATGTGCAGTAAGATTCTTAGCTGAGTGACACTCAGCCATGATTCCCCATTTGTAAAATGGAGATAACAAGCTGACCCTGCTTATTTCACATGACTGTTTCAAAACAGATAAGACACGATTCAATTCTGTTTAAACATAAAATGCCTTAAAAAAAAAAAAAAAAAGGAAAAATGCATGAAAGAAGGAAGGAAAAAAAAAGAAGGAATTATTTCCTAGGCTAGATTGACACACTTTCATATGCAATAGAAAGCGAGGGAAAAACAAAACAGAAAATAGCTAAGAAACTACACAGAACTAGTTTATTTTCACGGGCATAGAAGCTTTCACAAAACTCCAGGCTTTTAGGAGGTTGATTCATTTCCTTCTGTTCTTTCTTCCTGGGCCCAGGAAGTCAGCTGATTCACTATAAAGTAATGCAATACTCAATTATCAGCTTGGGAAAAAAGGAAAGGCACCCTAAGAGATGGCTCTCTCCTCACTGGGAGAAGCCGGTAGTCCTCAAAGGACAAATCAGACAAGAACACACAAAGATAAACTCATTTATTTCTCAGAATGTAGTCCGCTGCTTGATATTCCCTGCAAAGATGGGGCAACAACAAAACGCCCCTGAGGCCCCGATCGCAGACCTGTTCGAGCATTGTCCAGAGGCAGCTCAGTCCATCAGAGGTCCAAGAGAAATCTCCTAACCTGGGCCAGGTATTTTGGTTTCAAATAGTCACCCAGCTCCTCCTTGCTGACCCACACATGACTGTCCTTCTTCCGAGCCTGGGAAACGTCTCCAGTTAGTAGCAGTGCTTTGAAGAAGAATACTTTGGCCCCGAGAATACTCTCTGTCCTCATTGCCTGGGGGAACTTGAACTTGTAGTGGCCACAAGGTGCATTTCCGAGGAACTTGGCTTCCATGTTGTTTTCTGAGGAGGGGAGGACAGAATTGGAAGATGAGGATACACCCACCTGTTTACACTGGCTCCCAAAATCACCGGGGGTCTCTATGAGAGCCAGTTCCAGCCGGAGGTAAAAGCAATCCCTGGGAGTGAGGACAAGGGTCATTCCTGAAGAGACTGCTCTCCTCTCCATCCAAATGCTCCTGGCCCAGGGGCTCCCAATTCTCTGGGTCCACTCCACGTGCCAAGCTACTGCTTTCAGACAGAAGTTAGCAATGCAGTTCAAATACCACTACCTGGGAATCAGAGCATGGAGCTTCTAGCCTCAGCCCAGTCACCACCTGTTGATGAAGGACCAAGACATTCGGTATCTGTAAAGCAAAGTTCATCAGCCTTTTAAGGGGATTGTCACATGGAAACCATAAAAAGGACCTGATTTGACTTATGTAGGGTGAAAACATCATAATCAAAGTTAAAAGACAAAGACAGATGGGTAGATAATATCATATCTGTAATCTATAACAAAGGGTTAATACCTCCAACCTAGCATTTCAAAGGATGGGAAAATGATGGATTAATTACTAAAGGGCATTTAGAAAACTGGCTAGCTAAATAGGAAAAATAAAGCTGAATTTCAACTTCAGTCCTCACATCAAAATTGATACCATATAGATCTAAGATTTAACAATAAAAATTTAAAATTTTCATAAGAGGTTTCTTCGTTCTGGATGGTGGTTTCATGGACGTTTAATATTTTATAAATTTTTCTGTATTTTTAAATTTTTCACTAAAGAAAAAAGAAACAATAAGAGTACTAGAAAAAAAATGTGGGATGCTTTCACATCATTTTTGAGAGGGGAACGCCTAAGCAAGACACAAAACTCAGAAATCCAAGAAAGAAAAGACATATTTATCTACATAAAAATTAAATCTGTCTGCAAAGAAAAATGAAGCATAAAAAACTCAAAGACAAAATGAGAAACCAGGAAAAATATTTTCAACACATTCAACAAAGGAATAATATCTTAAGATATAAGAAGTACCTAGAAATGAATGAGGAAAAAAACCAACAAATCTAAAAGAAAAATGAACCAAGCATATGAACAGGATGTTCACATGAAAATACATATCAATAACCTACAAACTCAGTAAAAGATGCCCAATCTTATTAATAATTAAATAAATACAAGTTAGAACAACAACATATCATTCCTGAGGTTCAAAAACTTTCAGCTCGACACCGCTTGTCAAAAATAAGGGAAAAATAGGTGCTCTCACACATACTGTGGGAGTGTAAATTAGTTAACTGCTATATTTGGCAAGAGTTATCAATTTTAATTATACATAGCCTTTGATCTAGCAACTCTGCTTCTAGAACTTTATCCTCCCAGATATATTTATTTGCCCACATGAGCAAAGATGAGTGTACAAGGATGTTCACTGCAGCTTCACTTGTAAAAGTCACAGCCGGGGTAAACAAACTGCAGTACACACGTTATGAGATAGTATGATGGCATAAAAAAGTGTTAAGATATGTATTCATGTGCTGATGTACAGAGATGCTTAAAAGTATAGAAGAGGAGAAAGGAAGGTATATAACTGTGTATATATATGCTCCCACTATCTGGGGAAAAAAAAGATAAAATATGTGCTTGCAATTTCTAAAAGGATCCACAAAAAATTGTTAATGGTGGTTGCCTCTGAAAAGGGAAAATTACTTCCTATCCTATACGACATTTACTAGACACTGTTTGGTAATTTTCTCACCATACACAATGAATTGCTTTGCTCAATATCAAAAAACAACAGCACAGGGGCCGGGTCCATGGCATAGTGGTTAAGTGTGCGTACTCCACTGCTGGCGGCCCCGGGCGCACACCGAGGCACCACTTGTCAGGCCATGCTGTGGCGGCGTCCCATATAAAGTGGAGGAAGATGGGCACGGATGTTAGCCCAGGGCCACTCATCCTCAGCAAAAAGAGGAGGATTGGCATGGATGTTAGCTCAGGGCTGATCTTCTTCACAGAAAAAAAAAAAAACAGCATGACTAGCATTAGATGAGGAATTTATGTAACATGTGAGCTTACCTACAATACAAAATGTCAGCACTGGGTATCTGTGAGCAGTAGAATTATATTAGCATATAAACAGTTATATGTTTCCTTACACTTTTTGGAATTTTCCACTTAATTCAATGAATAAGTATTACTTTTCTATAATCTGGAAAAAATGGATTAAAAAATATAATCAATCATGAGCAAAGAATCTGAAGAGGCAGTTCAGGGAAGAAGAAATACACACAGCCAATAAACGTAAGAAAAGATGATTAATCTCACTAGCAATCAGGAAAACATTAACCCAAAAGAGACCATTTTACACTGACCAGATAGGCAGAAACGAAAGAGACTATTTCACATGTTGGCGAGGTCTAGACAAACAGACACCCCTGTGCACCACTCCTAAAAATCTAGAACTTTATGTACATTCTGCAGGACAAGTGGGCAGAACCTACCAAAACTTAAATGTGTCTATCCTCGACCTTAATTTCACCTCTAGGAATTCCATCTTGCAGAAATACTAGGGAAGTGTGGTGCTAATGGGGAAGAAAGGAAAGGACTTTGAATTTTCTATACGTATACTTTTACAGTGCCTGAGCCTTTCTTTGCCATTTTAATTATTTTATATTATTTGCCATTTTAATAAACTCGCAAAAAATCAACATTTTATTTTACATGCACCTATTAAATATCAATTTATCTTTTATATATTCCCTTTCACATTTATTTATGACAATGGGAATGTTAAAGGAGGAAAGTGTAGAGCCGAGTGGCACCCCGTTCCACAGGCACACAGGAAGTGGAGCTGAGCCAGCATCAGTCAGGAACATTTGACAAGAGGGAAACTGAGCATCTGAACACAAGGATCCTGGCAAGTAACCCAGCTGCGAACTCCTACATGATGGCTCAGGAAACTGGGAGCGCAGCAAAGGCCTTTACCCATTCTCTTCTGTCTCACTACCTCTCCTGCAGGCCACACAGGCCCATGGTAGGAAAGGATCAAAGGGGCATACACCAGCTGCTGACATTTCGTTAGCAGGTACTTATGCTGGTAGCAGGGCCAGTAGAGTGGCTCTGCATTTAGACTACTAAATACGTTTACTCAATCAACATTCAGCAAGTATCTCCTATGTGCCAGGTCCTTTGCTGAGAGCTGGGATGATGGAGAGGAGTAGATACTGTCTATATCTTCAAGGCAGTCAAAATTCTGGCTGGGGAGAGAAATGTGTTAATAAACAATTACAGGGCAGTGGAGTAAGGGAAAGAGTGTATTCTCCACTAGAACATAAGCTCCCAGGGAGCATTGGAAGTGTCCTCTTCATCACTATGACCCCACTGCCTGCAGAGTGTCCAGCTAATGGTCGGCACAGAGTAAATATCTGTCGCATAAACTGAATGAGGGCACACACGAGTGCTATGGGAGCCTAGAGGGAAGTTCTCTCCACCTAGAGGCTTGCAGAAGGTTCCACCACAGAAGGTATTATGTATGAGCTGAGTCTTAAAAACTGAGCAACCAGACCAAGGAGGAGTAAAGCATTCCAGTCAGTGACCAGCATGCCTCAAAACAGAGACGCATGAAAGACTACATTATTCCAGGAATGCAAAAGGTTTGCTAGGTTAGAACTTAAAATATACACACTCATGGGGCTGGACCCATGGCTTAGCGGTTAAGTGCGCGCGCTCTGCTACTGGCGGCCCGGGTTCGGATGCCGGGCACGCACCGACGCACCACTTCTCTGGCCATGCTGAGGCCACGTCCCACATACAGCAACTAGAAAGATGTGCAACTATGACATGCAACTATCTGCTGGGGCTTTGGGGAGAAAAAAGGAGGGGGATTGGTAATAGATGTTAGCTCAGAGCCAGTCTTCCTCAGCAAAAAGAGGAGGATTAGCGTGGATGTTAGCTCAGGGCTGATCTTCCTCACAAAAAAAAAAAAAAATATATATATATATACACACACACACACACACACACACTCAGAAACGGTAAGACAGAAGACTGATGAGCTCAGGACTAGAGCATAAAGGATTTGTAGGCCACACTTGAAAGTCTGAACTTTTATGGGAAACCTTCTAAGAATTCTAGGCAGAGAGTGACAAGGGATCTGTGTCTCAGAAAGCTCATTCTGGCAGCACTGAAGAATATGACATGAAAGCAAAGGGGAACTTATTTGGCATCCACTTCAACAATGCCATATAGTGGTTCTCAACCACTATGATTTCGCTCCGCAAGTAAAATTTCACAATGTCTAAAGACATTTTTGGTTGTCAAACTAGGGGGAGTGGGAATGAGTTAGTGCTACTGGCATCTAGTGGGTAGAGGCCAGAGATGTTGCTAAACATCCTACAATGCACAGAATAGCCCCCATAAAGAATTATCCTGCCCAAATGTCAACTGTGCCAAGGTTGGGAAACCCTGGTCTAGTGAGATGTGAAAGGGGTCACAGCTGAAGCTGTGGAATAAAGCTGGTGAAGATTTAGAACAGATCAGGTAGGACTCAAGAACTTATGGATGTCAGGAGGTGGTTAAGGATGACTCTGAAGTTTCTAGTTGGGTGAATGGGTAAGTGGTGGTGCCAACAAGCCAGGCTGCAAGGAAAAGAAGAGAAGCAGGCTGAGAGAATGGTAGGAACACTGATTTTGAAGGTACTAAATTTAAAAATCTCAGTGAGGGAGATGGAGAGTGCAGGGATGGCACCACCCTGGAGGGTATTTCAGCAGGCCCCAAGAGGTGCACTGAATTGGATGCTTGCCCCTCAGGCCAACGTTTTAAGATAAGCAAACAAGCCTCTTTCACAGAAAGTCTGGGTGCTTTTCAATTAGCTACCTCTGAGCCAGGCCCTGGGGTGGAACCTAAATCACAGCCACAGCTGCTTCGTTAGGGACAGACTATCAAATACTTAGCAAAATGGAGTAAAAGATAATAAACCAAGGTATCTTCTTTGTAATGACACCAGACAGCCAAGAAATAAAAAAACTCCTCATTTTCAAAGAGACACCCAAAATTCAAAGTTGATTTTACAAGGCAGTGGATTACCTAGAAACAGAGGTTCTGAAAGACCAAGTACTTCTTCAGAATCTGAAGTATGGGCTAAAGAAAGAAGCAAGTGTGACAGGCCATATTCTAGATAGGATAGAACTAAAGATACTTCATGCTCTTTAAGTTCTCAGCACAATGATGGTGCTTTAAAAAAAAAAAAAAGGGATAACTCTATGCAAAGGAGATCAAGAAAAAGTCCAGCCTATGCAGAGGAAAAAGAAAATCCACTTCCTCAGGAATCCATGGATTATAATAATCAAAAACTTGGTAAAAGAAAAAACCAAACAGCAAGTCCTGTTTGGATGAAGTTTATGACAGTAAACTCCAAACAACAAAGAATGAAGCTTTCAGTGATGTAAAAATTGAAAAACATTTTAATGTAAATACTGATTACCAGAATCCTGTCCGAACTAACAGTTTCATTGGTGTTTCAAATGGAGAGACAGAAATGCCAGTGAAGGGACGGCAAGTAGGACCTCTTAAGCCAGCAAGGCCCATTACAGCTACACCCTGTGATGATAAAATATTTTACAGTAGTGGACCCAAAAGAAGATGTAGGCCAATTAAATCAGAAAAAGTACTAGAATCATCTATACCTATGGAGTATGCAAAACTGGGGAAACCTGGCGATGAATGTTTTGTACTTTATTGGGAAGATGACAAGTTTTACCAAGCAGAAATTGAAGCTCTCCATTCTTCAGCTATGACAGTAGTTGTTGAATTCAGATTATGGACACTATCAAGAAGTGCTACTAAGCAACATCAGGCCCTCAAATAGAGGCATGGGAGGAAGAAGGTACCTACGACCAAACTCTTGAGTTCTGTGAAGGAGGTGATGGCCAGCCAAGACAATCCACTCAGCCAATCCAGCAGTTTACCAATCTCCCCAGGCTCAGAACTAATATAAGAAGAGTCTCTGTGAAGAGAGGAGTCGTTGACTGAAACATCCTGGTCAAAATCTGCTGACAGACCTCCTACTTTCCCTTCAGAAGAAGATGTAGCCATGGTGGATATTATTATTTGGAGAACAAAAAAACAGATTTTAGGAGAAAAAATAAATTCAACCCACACAAAGAATGGGAAAAGATACGGAGTTAAATTAAGCAAGTATCTTTTACAAGTGAAAGAACTTTTTTTCTACCATCAATAAAACCAACATGCTATTATAATAAACACATAATAAAAATGAAATAAAATTTAAAAATCTCAGTAGGACAAAGATAGACTTTCACCTAAGATTTTTTTCTAGCTGAAATTTTTACAAATATTCAAGTTTCCATTAACCTTCCCACCTCCTACTCTTAAAGCCATCGCATAGTCAGCCTATAAATCCTCTGGCTGAGACTGAAATAAGTCTTGTGGGGTTTAGAGCGAGGCAGAGAACTCACCTGAGAGTGTGGCCAGGGTTCGCTCAGCAGTTCCTCGGAGAGTCTCCCCAGGCTGCCACTCTGCCTGGGGCAGCACCCAAACATCCTGGTCTCCAAGCTTTTCTTTGACCAACAGGACAAGGTTCCTGTCTAGCTTTCGCTGCAGTGAGGTCCGGTCATTCTTTTTATCAGCTTCTATGAAGAAAATGGGGTCAAAGGAGACAGGACGACTATGATCTGCCAGAACCAAGGAGATGCGAGTTCTACAGACTTCCTTTTTAAGGTAGAGCCACAATCCTTGCCCTCAAAGAACTTATAATCAAATTAAAACCTTGACTCATCTAACTCTGACCTCTTTCAGGGTAGAGTCTCACAATCTTGAGGAAACTAAAATGTAAGAAGAGGAAACCAAAAGCTGAACTTCTCCTTTGAAGGGCAAAACATAAAGAAAGTACTTTGAGCCTTTGGAAGAAGCGATATCCATACTAATTCAAACACTACTACTTCATTGGTTTTCACACTATTACTAACTTAACTAGCTTCCACTTTCTCTGTTCTTCGGTCTTCATCTGTGAAACAAGGATAAAAGCACTCAACCCCCTGCTTTAGGAGGGATTTCAGATAAAACACAGCAAACGAGTGGGAAAGGCTTAATTTCCCCCACTCTCAGTCCCAAACTAGGAGTTAAACTCATGTAACCTTCATAAAGTTTAACTGAGAGAGAAAACGCTATGCCAACCCCCTTACCTCCCACTCAAAAATAACAGAGGCCTTTTAAAACTTTTACTAGAGTAGATGTGAGGAACAGGGAAAATAATTTATTTTTCTCCCACTTGAAAGCAGTTTTATCATTTGAAATTATTTGTTACTTAAAACACAAAGCAGGGGCTAAGCAATTGTCCTTTGTTTGGGAACCAGAATATTCCCCTTTCCCTTCCCTCTTGCTGGCCTGAAAAGACCACAAACCTGTTATGCGAGCTCCAGGTTTGAACTGTAGGAATTTCTGCTCCCACGCATCTTCCAAATCTTGCACCAGCAGTATTTTCCGTTCATCGTCTTCTTCATCATAAGGGTCAGCTTTCTTCTTTGCTAGTCGCTGGGCTTCACTCAAAGCACGAAGCTCATGGTCTGAATACAGGCTTCTCTCTATCTCGATCTGGGAAAATTAAAAGGGCAAAAATCTACCTCAATCTGGGAAAACTAAAAGGACAAAAAAACAAACGAATATAACACAGCTATAGCACACTTGACAGACTCAGAAGTTTACCATCCAACGTAACCAGATATACAATCAAAACACCACAGAGAAAACAGGGAAGGAACAAAGGTCACCTGCACTGTGGGCTTGAGTTACATTTGCCAGAATGTTAGAATGTGACTGGAGGTCAAGATTGCTACAAAGAACAGAGGACTGGGACGGGCACTGCCTGCCCACTTACCATGCTCCAGTCATGTCAGTCTTTGATCAGAATCTCACTCACCACGGGCTTTCCTGCCGCAGGGAGTTTACAGCTGCTGTTCCTTTTTTCTAGAATGTTTTACCTCACATTCTTCTCCTGGGAATTCTTACTCTTCCTTCAGATCTCAATTTATCTATCACTTTCTTAGAGAGATACTCCTTGACATCTCCGATAAAATCAAATCAAATGTCCCTGTTAAACCCTCTTAGAGTGCCCTGTGTTTTCCTTTACAACACTTAGCAGGGTCTGCAATTAGTGTACAGTCATGCAACTATTTGGTTACTGACTGGTCCCCCTCCACTAGACTGAAGTGCTCTGAGAACCAGAGCTATGTCTGTCTGATTCATCACCACATCCCTAGCACTTAGCACAGTGTCTGCAGAAAGTAGGTACTAAATGATTACCTGTAAAGTGATTAATAAAATATTTGCAAAGTAAATTAATAAACTAAGTAAAAAGCCAAGAAGTGAAGTTTATAGCTCACAGTAGCCAAGACAAAAGCATCTCAGATCCTGGAAAAACATAATAGCCTTCAACTATACTATCTGTGGGGATTGAAGACCCTCACAGCTACTACACCCGGTTTTTGCCCGTTTCCTCACTTGCCCCTCACACAGACTTTATCACAGGTACCTTACACACGTGCCCACTGCATTCTCCTAACACTCGTCACATCACAAAGACTTTCTCCAAACTGTCAACTACCTATGATAGGGGCTGAGTCCATCTAGTTCACCACCGCATCCCTAGTGTGTTGAATGAAAAACGAGTGCATCTCCAAACAGCTGCCTAAGATGACGATAAAGAAGACCAATGAAAACAAACTACCTTTTATTGAACGCCTACCACGTACCAAACCAACACACTAACGTGGGTACCATTTTGCAGGTAAGTAAGGGAAGTTCAGAGAGGTGAGGTGACTTGCCCAAGGTCACACAGACTAATTGACGCCGGAGTCGGGACAGAACCCAGGCCCACGTGCCTGTATTGCTTCCCCAACTGCATCTTAAGGCCGCGACCCGCACCTCAATCCTACCTGCTGTAGTAGAGCCGCCATCTCCTCCTGCAATGGTGTCAGTGGCTTCGAGACCAGCGGTGGCCGCTGCAGGCACAATGCGCCCAACAGGCGCCATGGAGACCCGCTGCTCGAGGGTGCGGCCGCAAGGGCCAGGCTGCGAGAACCCAGGCCACTGGCCCAGAGCCCCTCGAACCGCCGCCAATCCCTCGCTACCCCTAACAGAGGCCGCCTTACGGGCGCCGCCATCTTTCTGCCCTCCCACAAAGTACCGTGGCTCCCAGCGGCCTCCTGGGCTAATCCCAGGTTCCCACAAGGCAGTGCGGGAGCGGCCTGAAGGGAAGTCTTCAGTCCCCGGAACTACTGGAATGAACCACTCCAATATGGAGGGGTGGGCGAAGATCTCATGTTAGAAGATTAGGAAAAAGAGGGGAAGTTCTCAGTTAACACTCGCAACTATATTTATTATAGAGCATTTAAATGGGAATAAAAAAAATTTAATGGACTTTATGAAGAGGAATCAGAGGACTTTTCCTCTGCACCCTCCCCCACAAGCGCTAGTGGTGCTGGCCCCGCTCCAGCAAAGCCCGGCTCCTCGGTCGCCGCCGACGGGACCTGACTGGGGTCGATTCAAGTCATGCAGGTTGTAAGAAACGCGGGGTCTTGGCTCTTGCGGTCATGGGCTTGGCCACCGACGACCAGGTGAGAATGATTACCGTCTCCGAGCCCACGGCCACCCACGGGCCTGCCCTCCTGCCCGTGTCCCACGAGCCACCTGGAGGCCAGTGGCCGTTAGGCCTGGACCTCACTGCGCTTTTTTCCCCCGCAGGGTTGTGGCCGGGGCGCCGGCCCCCACCATCCACAGTGGCGCCCAGCAGGTGCAAGACGCGGCGGCCAAGCAGGAAGCTGAGAAGGCGGCGGCTCCGACTCCGAGCAGCAGCAGCTTCAGGTGAGGACCACTGGGTCCAGCCCTCGAGAGACCGACACCACCCTCCAGAGTCGCAGAACCAGTGAATTCCCAGCTCTGTCACTCGCCATCTGTGGGACCTTATGCAAACTAATCCCTGAGCCTCAGCTTTCTCGTCTAAAAGTGGAAATAATGCCGAGAGAGGTTGTGAGGATCAAATGAGATGAGCCTTGGCACAAAGTGGATGCTCGGTGAACATTTGATGAGTGAAGGAGTAAATGTCGAAGGCATATAGGAGATATCAACCTTTTTTCCCTCTAAGAAGGGGGATCACGTCAGACTAACAACCTTCCCTGGGCATCGGACACAAAAAGAGGGGAGGGAGGGAGGTGCTACGCTGTGGTTTAGATTATTGTGCACTTTTTAGAGTTGGTCTAAGGTCCAGGGTGGTTTTTGTGCTCAGTCCTAGGGCCTGGCATCTTGCTTTCCACCAGTACCACCACCTGTATTTGCTGAGTGGACGTACTTCACATCCATTTAACAAACATTTACTGAACCTACTTGGTGCCAGGCACCATGCTAGGTGCTGGGAGTGCAAATACAAAATCATTCCTCCCCACAAATAGTTCACAGTCTACCAGGGAAGACAAACATGCAAACATCACCATAATCTGATCAGTAGTATACTGGAGGTAAGAACTGATTGCTTGAAAGTATGAAAGAATGAGTGTCTCACTCCTGAGGAAATCAGGCAAGACTGCTGGGAAGATAATGTGGAGCTAAGAACCAAATTGGATGGGAGTTCAGCTGGACGATATGAAAGGGATCATTTTAGGCAAAGCTAACAGTCTAAAGGCTTGCAGTATGAAAGAACATGGTGTATTCAAGTGTGTGTGTGATGGCAGCTGAGGCCAGCAAGTCAAGAAGGAATCAGAATGCTGAGGGTCTTATCGGTAATCCTGGGACTTGTACACTGTCCCCATTGTAGGCAGTGAGGAGCTGCTGAAGGCATGTAAGCCAAGATTCTGTTGTAATTCAGCAATGTCAGGTACTGTTCAAGGTGTTGGGGACACATCGTTGAACAAACACAAAAATCCCCACCCCCATAGAACTTAAATTCTAGTGGATAGGGGACAGTAAATAGAAAACAAGTAAAACATGGGAGTGTGACAGATGGTGAGGGTGTGTCTAGTGTTTGTGAGGAATAGCAAGAAGGCCAGTGTGGAGTGAGGAGTAAAAATAGGGAGATGGGGGCAAGGGTTGCAGGAAGCATGTGGGGCTCCATCCTGTATGGCCTTGTAGGCCATCGTAAGGACTTCAGCTTTTACTCTGAGTGAGATGGGAAGCCACTGGAGAATTTTGGATAGAAAGTTGAAATGACATTGCTTACATCTTAAAAAGTCCCTTTGGCTGCTGTGTTGATATTGAACTGTAGGGAAGCAAGGATGGAAACTGGGAGAAGTCTTCTAAACAGTTAGAAGATTTGAAATAATCCAGACAAGAAATGATGGTGGCTTTCTGGACCAGGGTGACAGCTGTGAGGGTAGTGTAAATGGTTGGACTGATACAGAAAGTAGAATCAATGGGATTTGTTAATGTCAAGTGTGACAAAGGAGAGAAATGAAGGAGCACTCTAAAATTTTGGCCTAAGCAACTGGAAAGATGGAGTTGTCATTTATTAAGATGGGGAAGACTGCAGGAGTTTGGATTTGGGTAGTTAAGATTGAGTTGCTTAATTAACATCCAAATGGAGATACGATGTAAGCTATTAGAAATGGAGTTCAGGGGACATCTGAGTTAGGGATATACATTTGGAAGACTTATCGTATAAATGATGTTTAAAACCATGAGTCTATATAAGATCGTCAAGAGAGTAAGTGTAGATAAAGAGGAGAAGAGGGCCAAGGGCTGAGCCCTGGAGCCTTCTGGCATTTAGAAATTTGGGAGATGAGGAAGAATCAGCAAAAGAGACGAAGAAGGAACCTCTAGAGAGGTAGTAAGAAAACCTGGAGAGATTTTTTTTTTTTTAATGTGATTCAAGGGCAGAGAGATCAGCTGTGTCAGACACTGCTGATATGATAGGTCAATATGCTGATGACAGAACTGCTCATTGGATTTAACATTGTGAGTTGGTTAGTGAGCTTGACTAGGGCATTTTTGGTGGAGTGATAGAGCTAAAGTCTGATTGGAGTGAGTTCAAGGAGAATAGAAGACAGGAAGAAACAGCAAGTATAGTCAGTTCTTTAAGGGGGTTCTGTTGTAAGGGGGAATAGAGAACTGGGCAGTAAGTAGCTCAAGGAGGCTTTGGGATCAAGAGGTTTTTGTTTTCGGTTGGGGAAATGATAGCCTGTTTTGCTGACAGGAATGATGCAGCAGAGAGGGGAAAGAACAGTGATGCGGGAGAGGGAACGTCACTGGAGTGATACTTGAGAGGCTCACACAGGAGTAGAGCATCATAACAGGAGAGAAGGCAAAGATTGTGGCACAGATGTTTGGCAGTGGGAGCTGCAAGAAATTCTGATTGCTTCTATTTCTCTGTGAAGGTCATCAGCTGGCAGTGAGGAAGCAGGAAGGAGTTGGAGGTTGGAGGGGACAAAAGAAGGTATAAAATAGTCATCCAGAAGAGTGGAAGGATCATTGAACTGGGGATGTGCTGTATGATTGCCAGGCCGTGCTGAGGGCCCACTTGGTGTTAGAAGTTATTCAAATAAACAGTGGTTCTCAGCTGGGAGCAGTTTTGCCTCCAAGGAGACTTTTAGCAATGTCAGAAGACATTTTTGGTTGTCACAACTTCAGGGACAATATCTAGTTGGTAGAGGTCGGGGATGTTGCTAAACACCTGCAATGTGCAGGGCAGCCCTCCACAACAAAGAATTATCTTGTCCAAAATGTAACTGCTGCTGAGGTTGAGAAACCATGATATGTAGAGAGACCAGTCAACATGCTGTGTACTTTTCTCTAACCAACTGTATAGATGCTCAGAGCGGCTGGAGAGATTAATTTAACCACGGTTAGGGGTTTGCCGGGAGGGTGCAGTGAAGTAAGCGGGGGCAGAGAATTGAGAGTATGCAAGGAAGTAATCATAATGATTGGTCATGGGATTTACTCCAAGTCAAGGGAGCAGTGAGGGCATGAGGGGTGTGAGGGAAAGTGAAAAAGTGGTAGGATCGGGGGATTGAGGGATTCCTGGAGTGAGGGTAGTGGAGGGAGCCAGGGAGTGTGCCAGGAGCTGGCGGCCTGAGTGTGGTGCTGGAAACCGAGGTTATGATGGGGTTGCAGGTGTGGTAATGTGGTAATGACAAGGGCTAGGTGTGACCACAGGAGTAAGTAGCCAGGGTAGCATGGAGGACACAGGATCATTGGGGAAAAGGAGGTCAAGAAACAAGCCAAGGGGTTGGGAGGATCTTACAGAAATCGCATAGGTAACTATGACAGGAGTAGTGAGCCAGGAGCTATAATCTTTGCATTTTTCTACATTTATTTGTATTTTAAAAAACGTCTTTAGCCACAATTAGAAAATGGGTTGAAGACCATGAGGCAGGGCCCTCTCATTTGGGAGTAGAACTACACCTTACCCAGCCCAGGTTCCAGCATCTGCCACATCCTGGGTCACTTTGGGTTGGTTTTGCCCGGGGGTAAGCAAACTACTGCCTGAAGTGCCCACGGCAGAAGTCAGCCCTCCTTTTCAGACCCTCAGCAGAAGAGAACAGCTATTTTCAGTCCTCAGCCGTTCAGAAGAGATGCCGTGTGTGCTGGCGCCTTGCTACCTTTCCCTGGTGTGAGGATGGGTATGAAGAAGCAGCAGACCAGTGCCAGAAAGCTTTGTCTTTCCTTTTTCTGGGCTCCCTTGGGGTGAAACACTTGTCCGTTTGTGCATTGGACCTGGGAGATTTAAAGGCCTAATCTTGTACTTGCCTTCAATTAAGTGGTTCAAGCTCCAAATCCTTCCTCGTTCAAAAACCTTGCTATATATGAGAGGCATTACAGTGGTGTGTTTAGACTTTAGTAGTCTTTAGTTTTTTGACCCCCCAAGTCAATAGTGGAAACTATCAATGGGGAAGTGATTTAAACATTAATGTCATCGGGGGCCGGCCCCGTGGCATAGCGGTTAAGTGTGCGCTCCGCTGCTGGCGGCCTGGGTTCAGATCCTGAGCACGCACCGGCGCACCATTTGTCAGGCCATGCTGTGGCGGCGTCCCACATAAAGTGGAGGAAGATGGGCACAGATGTTAGCTCAGGGCCAGTCTTCCTCAGCAAAAAGAGGAGGATTGGCATGGATGTTAGCTCAGGGCTGATCTTC